TGTTTACCCAATACCAGGTGCCCGCGTGAAGAGAACAAACACTCGAGAGAGGGGAGCTTCAGAGAACTTCAGGGTGGCAGGAGTCAAGACAAAACAATACTGTAGTGCCCTGAATGCTCACAATGAAGTTTGAGACAGCACTTTTTTTTGGTGGGCAAATTTAGCCCCTTGGAGATCAAGAGGTGAGAGGTTGTAGGGTGTAGGGGCCCAGAAGCGGAAGCGGAGTGACCGAGAAATTCTCCACGAAGGCAAGAATCGTTGGCTCTATCGGGCCTGGCAGGGCTCAAGGGAATGTCTACGCGGTCAGGTCTCGAAATTGTGGGCCTTTTTGACCGAATACGGGAGCTGGCCACATGACCTTTGTTTGCTGGTCTAAGACATGCTTTGGTTCGCCCAACCTTAGTACAAGAGAGCCACTATATAAGCTACAAACCCCACACCCCCAAACCCTAAAATCCTAAGCCCTCCTACTCACGAAGATCTCCTTAATGCCCTGAAGTGTGGGGGACTACGATTAGCCTAAGAACCCCCCAAAAAGAACTAAAGGACAATAATCCCTAAATGACCCTAAACCCTAAACCCCAAACCCTAAACCCCAAACCCTAAACCCTAAACCCTAAACCCTAAACCCTAAACCCTACACCCTACACCCTAAACCCAATAAGAAAGAGAATCCCCAAGAGAGAGTCTGGGCCGAGGCCTCGGTGGAGTCACAGCCACTGGCTGCGGCGAAGCACCGAAAGCTTACAGGCAAGTTGCTTTTCTGTTTAGGGTTTAGGGTTTAGGGTTTAGGGTTTAGGGTTAGGGTTTAAGGCTTAGGGTTTAGGGTGTGACTGTCATATGCTCAGATCTCTTGCACGAATGGCCCCCCTGTTGGGTGCCCAAGATGTGTGAGAACAGGGACCCTGGAAAAAGAGCCCCTAACCGAATTGTTGAAGATGGAGGCTCAACGCAGTTTCGGGTGTCTCGCTGGCTATGCGCACTGCGTGGCAGGCCACACGTCAGGCCCTTCCCGGCAAACGGGCAGGCGAGTGGAAGTTCAGAATGTGCTGATTGTGTAGAATATGGCACCCTAAACCTTAACCAAAACCCTAAACCCGCATGTGGCCTAAGCACGCTTTTCAAAGCCCAAGGGCTATATCGTGGTTTCCGAAATTAGGGGTACCTCAATAGGGTCCCTATTATCGGGGGGTCTATGTTGGGGTCCCCTACTTTCGTAAGCCCCCAAAACCCAAAACCCCAAACCCTAAACAACCCTAAACCCTAAACCCTAAACCCTAAACCCTAAACCCTAAACCCTAAACCCTAAACCCTAAACCCTAAACCCTAAACCCTAAACCCTAAACCCTAAACCCTAAACCCTAATCTATCCATGGCGCTCAAGGCAGCCGAAGTCTGGCATGGCAGGGCTCCACATCCATCGCAGGGCGCACCTCTCAGGAACGGTTCTTGAGTGGAGGCTATGAGTACATAGTCTAATGTTGCTTGTATATAGTAAGATGAAGCATAATTACAATTTCTTTTTTTATTTTTATACTTATATATATATAATATACCCAATATATACATTAAATTAGGCATGATCGTGCCTCAAGAGAGCTCACGAACCCTGCGCTGGAGGGCCAGAAGAAGTACTACCGAGCGAGCGTGCGAGCCAAAGACTCCTCGCAAGAGAGCAGGCACTTCCATAAATCTGGGCGGAACATGGTAGGTTCCACAATTCTGAGGGTTCAAGGTTTAGGGTAAGGGACCCTGATTTCAGGACTCATGACTTGAAGATCCCGAGGTCACGGCTGGACCCTTCTGCCTAAAGACGGGGCTGACACAATCAGCCGAGAAAGCCCATCGCCTGCTCGAGGCGACGGTCTCAAAGAGCACCCAACGCAAGCGGGGACAAGAAGGTTTCCATGTGGGGGGGGGGGGGTTTCCGAAAATCAGGGACCCCGAAAACGGAGTAAGAGTCCCTTAAAGGGAGGACTCCAAGAAGACACCCCCCCCAATTTCGGAACAAGGCCCGTATGTTCTTCTCTTGTCGATGCGTGCCGGCATCTTTCAGGCCTTGCTACGCATACGGGCACGTGTGCTCGAGGCATCTTCACGCCAAGAGGCGGTCGTTGCATGTCCTGCTGCTACACGGGGGAAGGAGTGTAGCATCTTAGAAACTTGCAGGAACCTGCTTGCACGGAGCAAGGCCTGGAAGCCTTGGAGGCCCATGTTTACACCATTTTACACCCTTCCATGTCCCCAAGCTTATGTCTGCCGAAGCCTTTGGTTGCAGCCCTCTTAAGACACGAGCTGGGAAGGTCGGCTTCCGAAGTGCCGTCCGAGAGGAGCTTACAGTACTGGGCTCTGGGAGGCCCCAGCCCAAAGAACAAAAGGGAAAAAGGATGAGCAAGGTAAATGCAAGCTGATTGTAAGAATGGCTTGGAAGTTTTTTGGATCCGTGCACCAGTGGAGCGCAAGATCAGGAAGTGGCGTGACATGTTGGTGCGCATCCGCTGCCTCAGGCTATACTTCTATGCCAAAATTCCAGCTTGAGCCCCGGGCAGCTTTCATCAGAGGCAGCTTCTCCCAAAGTTTGCAACTCGCTGAGGCCAGCTACTGGGTTGGCCAGGCATCCAAAACCTTGCTCTCAAGAGACGAAACGGATTGCTGATGCTCTTCGAGTGCTTCCAGGCTTTAAGCACGCCGCACTTTCCTGTGGTTGGTGGAGGTCTCGACCGCGGGCTCTGGGCTTATGGCAAGACTTGCTGTCTGCTTCCATGCGATGGACATGTTGAGTGGCTAGAGCTCGATCAGATAGCATTGCGCCATGCTGAGTACCGCCACTTCCCAGCATCAGCCAGCTCTGCCGCCAGCCATTCGGGTTCTCCGATCACCCTCTGTGCGAACTGGCCCACTAGCCTTCCGAAGCCTCTACGGCGCGATGGCAAGCATGTTGGGTGGCATGGGTGATGCTATGAAGGAGCAGGCTCGTGCTCGTTTGCAGTGGTCTGATTGTCGCGTCGCACCCCTTCCCATCCTTGACACCCATAGGCCAAGAAGAAGATCGAGGACGAGATGGCCGAGAAAGCGCCTGCCTCCATCAAGCCCTTCTTTCCTTGCTGTGGTGGGCCAGTCGGAACCACTGAGAAGTGCATCTGCATGGTGCCCGCGGATCAGCAGGAGCAGGTGATCAACGCCATTGAGACTCAGTTCATGCCTAGGTACTTCGGTTTTGTAGCTGATATGCCCGACCTCCATTGTTAGCAGACTGTACGTGCTACGCGAACTCGTTTTGGCCAGTGGGCATGGTAACCAAGGAGAAGTACAAGACCATCTAAAGACCTGCCGGAGCTGAGTATCCCACGTTCAACAACTCCACAGCAAAAGCTGTGTGAGTTGTGCACAGAGGTTTTACACGAGTTCTTGCTGTTGCAGCGTCGTGCGCGATGCTCGTCGATGCTGAAGACCTTGCGATCGTTCTCGCCTGTGTGAAAGTAAGTGACCTCAGACACGAGCGCCATCACGTGTGTTCGACACCACTTTAAAGATGCTTAGGCCGGGGCTTTGCCCGTGTCGAGCAACTCTCATCCATCAGCCATTTGGGTTCTCCGATCACCCTCTGTGCGAACTGGCCCACTAGCCTTCCGAAGCCTCTACGGCGCGATGGCAAGCATGTTGGGTGGGATGGGTGATGCTATGAAGGAGCAGGCTCGTGCTCGTTTGCAGTGGTCTGATTGTCGCGTCGCACCCCTTCCATCCTTGACACCCATAGGCCAAGAAGAAGATCGAGGACGAGATGGCCGAGAAAGCGCCTGCCTCCATCAAGCCCTTCTTTCCTTGCTGTGGTGGGCCAGTCGGAACCACTGAGAAGTGCATCTGCATGGTGCCCGCGGATCAGCAGGAGCAGGTAAAGTCCGCCATTGAGACTCGGTCACAAGTTTAGAAGTTGGGGTCTGCACATCCTTCCTCAAGATGGTAGACGCGTATGCTCTTCCTGCTGACCAACTTGGCAAGGAGAAGTACAAGAACATCTGAAGTCCTGGGGAGCTGAGCGTAGCTGAGCAGCCCCTTTTTCAACAGCTCCACGGCAAAGGCTGTGAGAGCTGTGCTAAACGCGTGCTGTGACAGCGTCGCACGCGATGCTCGTCGATGCTGAAGACCTTGCGATCGCTCTCGCCTGTGTGAAAGTGACATGAGACACGAGCGCCATCACGTGTGTTCGACACCACTTTAAAGATGCTTAGGCCGGGGCTTTGCCCGTGTCGAGCAATTCTCATCCATCAGCCATTTGGGTTCTCCGATCACCCTCTGTGCGAACTGGCCCACTAGCCTTCCGAAGCCTCTACGGCGCGATGGCAAGCATGTTGGGTGGCATGGGTGATGCTATGAAGGAGCAGGCTCGTTCTCGCTTGCAGTGGTCTGATTGTCGCGTCGCACCCCTTCCATCCTTGACACCCATAGGCCAAGAAGAAGATCGAGGACGAGATGGCCGAGAAAGCGCCTGCCTCCATCAAGCCCTTCTTTCCTTGCTGTGGTGGGCCAGTCGGAACCACTGAGAAGTGCATCTGCATGGTGCCCGCGGATCAGCAGGAGCAGGTAAAGTCCGCCATTGAGACTCGGTCACAAGTTTAGAAGTTGGGGTCTGCACATCCTTCCTCTAGATGGTAGACTATGCTCTTCCTGTCCATTGTGCTGACCAACTTGGCAAGGAGAAGTACAAGAACATCTGAAGTCCTGGGGAGCTGAGCGTAGCTGAGCAGCCCCTTTTTCAACAGCTCCACCGCAAAGGCTGTGAGAGCTGTGCTAAACGCTTGCTGTGACAGCGTCGGACGCGATGCTCGTCGATGGTGATGACCTTGTGATTACTCTCGCCTGTGTGGACATGAGACACGAAAGCCATCACGTGTGTTCGACACCACTTTAAAGACGCTTAGGCCGGGGCTTTGCCCGTGTCGAGCAACTCTCATCCATCAGCCATTTGGGTTCTCCGATCACCCTCTGTGCGAACTGGCCCACTAGCCTTCCGAAGCCTCTACGGCGCGATGGCAAGCATGTTGGGTGGCATGGGTGATGCTATGAAGGAGCAGGCTCATGCTCGTTTGCAGTGGTCTGATTGTCGCGTCGCACCCCTTCCATCCTTGACACCCATAGGCCAAGAAGAAGATCGAGGACGAGATGGCCGAGAAAGCGCCTGCCTCCATCAAGCCCTTCTTTCCTTGCTGTGGTGGGCCAGTCGGAACCACTGAGAAGTGCATCTGCATGGTGCCCGCGGATCAGCAGGAGCAGGTAAAGTCCGCCATTGAGACTCGGTCACAAGTTTAGAAGTTGGGGTCTGCACATCCTTCCTTAAGACGGTAGACGCGTATGCTCTTCCTGTCCGTTGTGCTGACCAACTTGGCAAGGAGAAGTACAAGAACATCTGAAGTCCTGGGGAGCTGAGCGTAGCTGAGCAGCCCCTTTTTCAACAGCTCCACGGCAAAGGCTGTGAGAGCTGTGCTAAACGCTTGCTGTGACAGCGTCGCACGCGATGCTCGTCGATGCTGAAGACCTTGCGATCGCTCTCGCCTGTGTGAAAGTGACATGAGACACGAAAGCCATCACGTGTGTTCGACACCACTTTGAAGATGCTTAGGCCGGGGCTTTGCCCGTGTCGAGCAACTCTCATCCATCAGCCATTTGGGTTCTCCGATCACCCTCTGTGCGAACTGGCCCACTAGCCTTCCGAAGCCTCTCGCGATGGCAAGCATGTTGGGTGGCATGGGTGATGCTATGAAGGAGCAGGCTCGTTCTCGCTTGCAGTGGTCTGATTGTCGCGTCGCACCCCTTCCATCCTTGACACCCATAGGCCAAGAAGAAGATCGAGGACGAGATGGCCGAGAAAGCGCCTGCCTCCATCAAGCCCTTCTTTCCTTGCTGTGGTGGGCCAGTCGGAACCACTGAGAAGTGCATCTGCATGGTGCCCGCGGATCAGCAGGAGCAGGTAAAGTCCGCCATTGAGACTCGGTCACAAGTTTAGAAGTTAGGGTCTGCACATCCTTCCTTAAGATGGTAGACTATGCTCTTCCTGTCCATTGTGCTGACCAACTTGGCAAGGAGAAGTACAAGAACATCTGAAGTCCTGGGGAGCTGAGCGTAGCTGAGCAGCCCCTTTTTCAACAGCTCCACGGCAAAGGCTGTGAGAGCTGTGCTAAACGCTTGCTGTGACAGCGTCGCATGCGATGCTCGTCGATGCTGAAGACCTTGCGATCGCTCTCGCCTGTGTGAAAGTGACATGAGACACGAAAGCCATCACGTGTGTTCGACACCACTTTAAAGACGCTTAGGCCGGGGCTTTGCCCGTGTCGAGCAACTCTCATCCATCAGCCATTTGGGTTCTCCGATCACCCTCTGTGCGAACTGGCCCACTAGCCTTCCGAAGCCTCTACGGCGCGATGGCAAGCATGTTGGGTGGCATGGGTGATGCTATGAAGGAGCAGGCTCATGCTCGTTTGCAGTGGTCTGATTGTCGCGTCGCACCCCTTCCATCCTTGACACCCATAGGCCAAGAAGAAGATCGAGGACGAGATGGCCGAGAAAGCGCCTGCCTCCATCAAGCCCTTCTTTCCTTGCTGTGGTGGGCCAGTCGGAACCACTGAGAAGTGCATCTGCATGGTGCCCGCGGATCAGCAGGAGCAGGTAAAGTCCGCCATTGAGACTCGGTCACAAGTTTAGAAGTTGGGGTCTGCACATCCTTCCTTAAGACGGTAGACGCGTATGCTCTTCCTGTCCGTTGTGCTGACCAACTTGGCAAGGAGAAGTACAAGAACATCTGAAGTCCTGGGGAGCTGAGCGTAGCTGAGCAGCCCCTTTTTCAACAGCTCCACGGCAAAGGCTGTGAGAGCTGTGCTAAACGCTTGCTGTGACAGCGTCGCACGCGATGCTCGTCGATGCTGAAGACCTTGCGATCGCTCTCGCCTGTGTGAAAGTGACATGAGACACGAAAGCCATCACGTGTGTTCGACACCACTTTAAAGACGCTTAGGCCGGGGCTTTGCCCGTGTCGAGCAACTCTCATCCATCAGCCATTTGGGTTCTCCGATCACCCTCTGTGCGAACTGGCCCACTAGCCTTCCGAAGCCTCTACGGCGCGATGGCAAGCATGTTGGGTGGCATGGGTGATGCTATGAAGGAGCAGGCTCATGCTCGTTTGCAGTGGTCTGATTGTCGCGTCGCACCCCTTCCATCCTTGACACCCATAGGCCAAGAAGAAGATCGAGGACGAGATGGCCGAGAAAGCGCCTGCCTCCATCAAGCCCTTCTTTCCTTGCTGTGGTGGGCCAGTCGGAACCACTGAGAAGTGCATCTGCATGGTGCCCGCGGATCAGCAGGAGCAGGTAAAGTCCGCCATTGAGACTCGGTCACAAGTTTAGAAGTTGGGGTCTGCACATCCTTCCTTAAGATGGTAGACTATGCTCTTCCTGTCCATTGTGCTGACCAACTTGGCAAGGAGAAGTACAAGAACATCTGAAGTCCTGGGGAGCTGAGCGTAGCTGAGCAGCCCCTTTTTCAACAGCTCCACGGCAAAGGCTGTGAGAGCTGTGCTAAACGCTTGCTGTGACAGCGTCGCATGCGATGCTCGTCGATGCTGAAGACCTTGCGATCGCTCTCGCCTGTGTGAAAGTGACATGAGACACGAAAGCCATCACGTGTGTTCGACACCACTTTAAAGACGCTTAGGCCGGGGCTTTGCCCGTGTCGAGCAACTCTCATCCATCAGCCATTTGGGTTCTCCGATCACCCTCTGTGCGAACTGGCCCACTAGCCTTCCGAAGCCTCTACGGCGCGATGGCAAGCATGTTGGGTGGCATGGGTGATGCTATGAAGGAGCAGGCTCATGCTCGTTTGCAGTGGTCTGATTGTCGCGTCGCACCCCTTCCATCCTTGACACCCATAGGCCAAGAAGAAGATCGAGGACGAGATGGCCGAGAAAGCGCCTGCCTCCATCAAGCCCTTCTTTCCTTGCTGTGGTGGGCCAGTCGGAACCACTGAGAAGTGCATCTGCATGGTGCCCGCAGATCAGCAGGAGCAGGTAAAGTCCGCCATTGAGACTCGGTCACAAGTTTAGAAGTTGGGGTCTGCACATCCTTCCTTAAGATGGTAGACGCGTATGCTCTTCCTGTCCGTTGTGCTGACCAACTTGGCAAGGAGAAGTACAAGAACATCTGAAGTCCTGGGGAGCTGAGCGTAGCTGAGCAGCCCCTTTTTCAACATCTCCACGGCAAAGGCTGTGAGAGCTGTGCCAAATACTTTTCGTGAGCCCTTGCTGTTGCGGCGCCCGGTGCGATGCACATGCTGGAGTCTGCAGTTGCTAAAGACAAACTTTGCTGAATATCAACAGAGCGATGCATCCAATACCGCACATCCAGCTGCACCAGCGGTCAGACCTGTGTGCACCAAGGCTCCATGCCTGGCGTTCACTCAGCCGCGTGCGTTTGGCAATCTACGCCAAACGGACGCAGGGTGCCCCTGCACGTGGCAAGGGAACGAGTGCACAGTCTACACATGCCTACGCATGTCTCCGTCTATACATGTCTATTATAAGCTGTTCCCCACGAAACGCGCTTCTCCCACGCACTCAGGAATCGATACACAATCCTGCATCATCATGTTCCGGAAGATCTCGAGGCAGGATGCGGGACGATGAAAAGATGAGACAGGGGAAGAGATGACAGAGAGAGCGGGAGACAAAGACAGAGAATGCGATAAAGAGAGAAAGGCGAGAGATAGAGGGGAAATACGCGCGAGATGACAGGATACAGCAAACAGGAGGTAGAGAGATGACACTCAGCGAGAGATATTTGAAGACGAGAGCGAGAGTTTGACATGGCAGAGGGAGGTGATAGCTCTCTCATCGTCTTCTCTTATCCTCCGGGCCCGCGCGCATTTCTCTCGTCTCTCTCTTTCACTCATTTGCTCTCACTTTGTCTCCCTCCATCATACTCCTATCTCATCTCTTTCATCTCCACGCACATCTCCCTTTCATCTAATGTCATCTCCATCTGCCATTTCATTCCTTCTCGCTCTCTCTCTCTCTCTGTCTCTCTCTGTCTCTCGCTCTTCTTCTCCTTCGTCTCCTCCTCTCTGAGTTTTGGATGAAGTGCGCAGCGACACGGTGGAACAGGAAGCCTGGAGTCGGTTGCGGCAGACACACATCGAGGCATCGTACTGCTTATTGTTATTATTGTTAATTAGTATTTTTGTTTTTATTTTGATTCTTTTTATTGTTTTGACCATTATTATTGTTACTGTTTCTTTGGCGGATACCAAGGTGTGGGCGGCAGCCGGCCGATGCCCTCACCAGGCCCTTTCCTTGCAAGACGCAGAGAGGCTGAGCTGAGAAGTGGATTTCCCTGTGCCAGGCAGCAGCTCGCCTGTCTGCCTTAGAAGTGCGACACTTGGTTTCTTACCATTCTGTTGCCGGCCACTCCTGCGATGCGATGTGGCCAGGCGAAGCATCATGCGTATCGAGAGCGAATGACCGAGCCCTGGACTCAGTATTTGCAACGCCTTCGTCTCTCATTTCTGCTGCCTTTGCTGCCTCATGCATTGCTGCTAGAGTGTTGCTGCGTGGGGCTTTTGCTGGCGAAGGCACAGAGAACATGCTGAGGAAAGATAAGCAGACTGGAGCTGAGGCGCTGGCAGCGCACCTCCTGCAAGAGATGCAGGCCGCGGTTTCTTGCGGGGCTTGGCTTGGCATGGCTTGGCCTCCGGTAAATGGAGAGCCATTACAGTTACATCCAGTTCTTGTAAGGCTGCATCTAGCTCTGTCAATTTGCAAGTGCGCGCAGGGGAGATAACATCTCAGAAGACATCGTGACCAAAATCACTCATTAATTATCGGAAAGGATAAGAGTGACTCAGCGATTTGCAAGGCCTCGAAGCCCCGATCCTTGTGCCAAGGAGAGACCAGGCCCCTGGGAGTTTTAAGGGGTTTTCATGTGGGTAAACCGGATAAGCTCGGAAGCCTAAGCCTCACAAAGCCCCAACCATGCTAATCAGGCACAAAGCAGTCCGAAAGCAAGCAATCAGTCCCCCTGCTGTAGCGCTACCCCACCCCGCACTCCGCCTCCCAAACTCCAAAATTCGGGTGCGGCGAAAAGTTGCTGCAACTTTCGGGGGAACTGGAGCCCGGCACTTGTAACCTCAGCCCCAAGGCGGACCCCAAGGCCCCTCCTGTCACTGGTTTCGGGTTTAGGGCTTCGGGCGGGGGTCGGGGGGCTGAAAACACTGAAGCTTAGAAGTTGGGGGGCTGTTTGGGGGTCAGTATCAGCGGGAACGGTTTGTGAAGGTATAACTTCTTTTTTTACAAGGCCCTGTCTTCAAGCTCGCAGCGTTTCGTCGAGCCGCCAGGGGCAGCGAAGCGCGTACTGCGGCTCCTCTCACGTCGTGGCCTCATGAAGTTAAGGGAGGAACAGAAGAACGGCTTCATCCTTGTTCTGAATATGGTATCAAGGAATAATTTAGGTACGCTACATACCAATAAGGGATTGTGATTGAAGTCTCAGAAGGTCATGGAGCTTGTTCTGAATTGCAGAGGGTCTCGCTTGAAAGGTCCCTTTCAGAATGTTCCTATGGATGGGGCGGGTATTGTGGGGTGACCCCCTATATCGGCAGCAGCGCGGGGATGCGACAAGCGTCCAAAGTGACAAGATACGCTCGTGCTTTGAGGCTGGGCCCCACTGAGAGGCAAGCGCCACCCCCAACGCCGGCGAACCGAAACCCGACCCGAGCCGGGCTACCATGACCACTGCCAAAAGAGCTCGACGTTGGAGGCGGCTCCATGTCTGTCGGTTTAGACTGAGGAGAGAGATGTACAGAGCCCAAATGGGCCAGCATACTCGGGGGGTCCCTGAGATCCCAAGAGCCTCAGCACCTATCTGGTGCACGTAGAGCAGACTCGAGAGCAGGATTCCTCAGATCTCAGACAATCTAAGACCGGCTATGAAAAGCTTCGTGGAGATCGCATCTGGAGCAGGTGCTTGCATTGCTTGAATGACGCCGACACCGAAAATTGCGGAAACGTTGTACGTAACTAAGGCACACGGTTTATGTCAGTGCGGTGTGGAGTCATCTCTATAGAGTCTTGCCTGAGGATTGTCTGAGTTAGATGCTTCCAAGCACAGATTTACAGACCGTACTACGATGTATTACGTTCCACCTGCGGCTTTATGGACCTTACATATGTGACATGTGCCGGAACGTCTGCAGAAGGGCCTCTAGGTAGAGAGAGAGAGAGCATGCTCAAATGAGCCGCGTCCGGTTCACGTCCTCCCAAGTTCGAAAAGCTAGTACATGCATGTACATGGTATGGTCCACAACTGCTTGCTAAGGTTGATAGTGTGGTCAAAAAGACGCTATTCGGTTTAGATTGAAGCCTTTTCTGAGCACTAGTTTCGCATTGTAGTTGAAAAAGTCGGAAGTCCTGGGGGGAGAAAGAGAAGTGCTTTAAGGAAGAAGGAAGATGAATTTCAACGGTTTAACAAGAACTTTTTCAATCACCCGTCGACCTTTTGCCATGCCAAAACGCCTGGGGTTGTCCCACATCACTGCTGCCTCTTTGGTCGTCCTAGTGTGCTGGCAAAGGTGGAGGTTCCTTTGCTTCGTGCCAAGCCCAGGGCCAAGCGTGTCTCGACGGCAGAGTATCCGCCTCAGCGCAGCATCCTTGGGAATGGGATGCCTAAGAGATGCGCATGCCGCATCCTGCGAAGCGTGCTGCTTGAAGGACTGGTGTGCCTGTGACCACCGTGTTTGCGATTGCCAGCAGATCCTGGAATCAAACGGGTTCACAGTTCCCCAAGACGCGTCCGCGCTGGGCTCAAGCAACGATGTCGAGGCTTGGCGGAAACTGCGCTGGAGATCGGCCAACGTTCCACGCTTCTATCCTGTCTCTCAGGAGGACATCATGGTGCGCAACTCCACCTTGAAGGGTGCGGGTCAAGGTGTGATTGCCCGACGGAATCTGCCAAAGGGTAGCGTGTTGCCACCTTACATGGGTCGATTGCTCACCTATCGTGAAGTCGGCCTGCGTGAGTTCAATGAAGGTATGGAGTACACATGGTGCCCTTTGAAGAACGGGGCCGCCATGCTCAACATGACGCCGCAAGAGCTGCTGACGGGCCCACAAGCCGCAGACATGGCTTTCTGTGTTGATAGCAGAGACTTCGCCGATGCAACGGAGAATCCAGGGAGATACGTGAACGGAGCCAAGAGTAGAGGTCAGTGTGAGCTGGTGAACGTGAAGATGTGTGAGCTTGGACGAGTAATGTACTTCCGGACTACCAAAGCTGTGGCTGCCGGAACGGAGTTGATCACCAACTATGGTGGAGATTATTGGGACTTCGAGGGATGTGGGTTCGTGCCTGCTTGGTGACACGAGGAAAACATCGCTCAATCTCCAGTCTTCCCAGCTTCTCACCTACGGCATTCGTGCGCCTGCAGTGCGCAGATGCGCGCTCTGGGACTTCAGGTGAATAGGTGTGCTCATGACTGACACTATACTTATACTTCGTGCTTTTGCACTGACACTGAAGCATGCACTGGAGGGGTGGGCATCTGGTTCGTAGATCTGAAACGGCCTGGCTGCAACGCGGAAGCTGATTCGGCTTTACCTGCCACTGTTTGGGACAGGGATGCTCTCTCTCCCTCTCTCTCACACACACGTATATGTACACGTACACGCACACGTACACGCACACGGACGTGTATCCTGTTGTTGGGAACGCGCCTTTTTTTCCAGCTTTCTGAGCTGTTGCCATGCAAATTGTCCTCGGATGCCCTGTGCAGCCTGTCCTTCACGGCCCCCGCTTGAGTATGTGCCGCACAAGCTCGAACCTCAAAAACCTTGAACATCCTTGAACAACCTGAGCAAGAAACCGTCCCACGAAAGTTTCCGAAAGTAGCTGCGAAGGACTTCAATTGCACTTTCCGCACAGAAGGTTAATTTCCAATGTGTGATACAGTAGAGCCAGACTGAAACCCCACTGAGCACACCTTTTACCATCTTGAACGCTCGATGTTGGCTCATCAGCCTTGAACCTTAAGCCTTAAGACTTAAGAGCCTTGCTCCAAACAAACCTTGCTGATCGCCGCAACGAATCCAAGAGCAAGAGGCTTACAGTGCCTACGGGACCAGCAGTCATTGGGTCGACCATGCCAGGGCTTCGGAGTGCATTGCAGCCATCGCAACTTCGGATCGCAGCCACCAATGCAGCTGCGGCATGCGCGCGCTTGCAAAGTTGCGGCGGCCGTGGCCTGAAGCAGGCATCTTTCTGCCTAGCGTGCGCAGACGGCTGCAGGCAGGGACAGATGGGGCACTTCTTGGGTGCCGCATCTGCCTCGTGAGAATCACTGGGTTGTGCGTTTGGATAATTTCGTTCCTTTCCTTTACTCAGATTATGCCTTTTGTTGGGCTTCATTAGTAGTCATTGGCAAACTGGAGTTAGTTTCTGGAATACTGGGCGGCGACTGCTAAGACTACTCCAACACAGAAATTTTAGTCTCAGGGGTTCAAGAGAACTGTGTCGGTCTCCTTTTTGCGTTTTGGTCATTTTCCTTCGGCCCGATCAAGACATAGAGGAAGTGATGGTTCTCCGGTTAAACACATTAAATAAATAGAGGTTATAAAGAAGATCGTCCCATGAAGAGCACATGCGTCAAAACACATAAGAATCCTTTCCAAACCTGTCATGTGAGCATTGTGCTTGCAAATGGCGGAGGGGGGGGGGGGCCCTCTTCCCAGCCCCTTTTCAATATTTTAAGCTGTACAAGCTTGTGGTGTTACAACGCAAATCATGCCATGAAAGAGGACCTGCGACAAAAAAGGCACACAAGCACATACGCACATCGGCATCCTTTCCAAGAGATTTCGTATTCAAATACTCCCCACTACTCCCTCCCTTGAGGACCCAAAAATGCCAACAATGACTGCCAGGATCAGCTGTGCCGCCTCCCTGAGCCGAAAAGACTTCGGCACTTCGCGCAGAGCTCACAGGCAGCTCCTAGTCCGAGTAATTTCTTAGTAGCTGAGGAGGTAGCCTTTAGCCTTTTTGGGGTATATACATATACTATATATATATATATACCATATATATATATATATAGAATCCTACCATAATTGAAAGGTGACCCATTTTTTGGCCCAGGGTACTCAGCAACTAGGATTGTGCAGTTTGGCGTGATAGCTTTAAGGACCCGAGAGCTTTTGGACTCTACACCCTATGGGGTCAGAGGGTGGTTGGCTGCAAGTCACAAATGCCACGCGACTCCCTAGGCCCTCTAGCACCAAACGCAAATCAACTAGCCACCCGAATTCGCAACTGCTGCCTCGAGCCGTCAACCCTACAAAGCCCTTATCATGAACTTGCAAGGCGTTCCATCTGCAGCTCGAAGCCCGGTGAGAGCTTGTGCACAGCGCAGGGTCTAGGAGGGATGCGGGGGGTTGAGGGTATGGGATGGTATAGGAGTCTTCGGGTTAGCACTAGGTGGTTTAGAGGTGTGTTGTCGGGGTTTGGTTTGGGGGATAATGAGGGGCTTTGGGCCTTGCTTATGCAGGGGTTTACAGCTTAAAGCGTCGGGATTTCAACGTAAGGGTTGAGGGCCTAGGACGCCCGATGTTTTTTCAGGCACTGGCTGCAGCTTCAGCGGGAACACCTCAATGAAGGATCCTTGCCCAAGAAGGAGAAGCAGAGCATGCACACTACCACATCCTGCATATGTGCTTTAACCCCCTGGATACCTCAGCGTTGTCGCGCGAAGGCGCTGCCAGCCGTCAACAATAATTCACTTCGGCCTCGGCGAACGGTGCTAATCCCCTCCTTTGACTTTGGCATCCTCAAAGCCTGCCACCCCACACCCCCCCCCCGGCCTCGCTCCCCTTTGCATGGACCTGGAAGATTTTTTGCAGTGCGCGGTCCCTAATTAGCCCCCAAGAATACTCGGTTCGCTGGGTGCCTGGGGGTGGCCAGATCAGGGATAATCAGTGGGTGGGCAGAAAAATACTCTGCTGTGCGGGAATGGGCAAGGAGAATACTTCGCAGAATACAACCTATTATATCAACTCCACGCATGCAACAGCAACTTCGCCTCAACCTCAACCCCGCAACCCTCTCCATCCTTCATCCAGGGTCAGGGTTTGAGGCCACGCAATTTGTAGGATTTGCGTGTAGCGCTTCGGGGCTTGGGATTCGGAGCTTTAGGGATTGGTTTAGGGCTTGGGCAGCAGCATTTGGCCTGCATTGACCTGCAGGAGCGCCGGTTGGCGGCAGCGCAAGAAGCGCTGCAGAGGCTTCTCATATATATATATATGTATATATGTACGTATGTATATACTATATATATATATATATAATATGATATATATGTATATAGAAATCCGCAGCCTCCGGGCCAGCTCGGGCTTCGCGGCCTCGGTCAGGATCCGGAACGGCCAGGAGGAGGTGTTTTTACCCCCAGACGACCTGCTGCACATCCTGAAGGACTCGGGGAATCCAGAGATGTCCGTTTAGGGTTTAGGGTTTAGGGTTAGGGTTTAGGGTACGTATGGATGTGGATGTCCACGCAGCCTCTATGCTCGGAGGACTCAGTGCTTTGCCCGGCATTTTCCCTGGAGCTGCTCCAACTGCCGGGCTCCTGGCCGCCAATCTTGGGGGTATGGGGGCCTCATGCAAAGAACAGATCATAGGCTGCAGAAGCACGTCTTTTGCGAGGGTTTCGACAGCTCGGGCCCCAGTTCGCGTTCGTCGACGGCAGCTGTTGCATGTCTTGCCACAAGGTGTACGGCGACAGTTCTTCCAGAATCAGGTGCTTCTGTAAGACAGTATAGAAAAACAATATGTACATACATATATATATATATATGAGCCCGCAACCTTTAAGGTCTATTTTGTCTTGTGCTTTCCTTTACTACAACAAAGACCTAGTCTAAATACATATATAAATATTATTATATGTGTAAGAATATGCACAGGGACGAGACGACGCACATATCTACCTTTTTTTTTGCTGTCAAACAGGTGGGTGGGCAAGAAAAAAGTTTTTGCAAGTCGAGTTTTGGATAAGACTTGAACTAAAACATTGCCAGCGCAAAGTATTTAGTATGATACATATACACGCAAGCCCGCCCAAGCTCGGAACATGGTGTAGACAAAAAACATAAAACACTACTAGTCTTTAAGTAAGAAAACAAGACCGCAGTTACATGCTTCGTTCTGAGGTGGTTATTATTAATGTATTTTTTGGGCTACGTAGAGTAGGTAGTCAGTATTTATTATCAAAACGTCTACGCAACATAATTAAGAAAACAAGTAAAAATATACGAGTACTGTGTGCGTGAATAACATAAACGCCTCGCATCAATAAATAAATAAATATATAGAACTATAAGACCGAAATATGCAAATCATTGCAGTTACTTCAATAACACGAAAGTACACTGTTGAAAACGTGATGAAGATACTAATTTAAGAAATAAAAACAAAACGTAGCAACGCGGCAAGGCGGGATGTGGCGGTGCGTACTCCGGGAAAAATGAAGAGATATCTGCTCACAGTATTCTCGTATTCTCGGCATGCATTGATTGATTTTGTTTACACAAGTAACACAATAACGAGATTACACATTAGTGGGAGGCGGCGCGGCGCACTCCGAATATAATGAAGACATAGTGGCTCGCAGTATGCTCGTATCCTCGGCTCGAATTAATTGCTTTTATTTGGATAAGTTCACACGTGTACGATGAGAGATGAACGGTATCTCTGCGACGCATGCCGAGACTAAGGAATATATGTCCATGTATATAGATTGAATTTTCGCACGACGCTGGAAAATTATTGCAAGCTTTCATTAATGCTATTAACACCTCAACCAGCAGAAAAAATCAGTTGCGAATGTTGTCTACTACTGACTAGCAGATTTTCATTACTTGAACCATTCATGTTGTTAGAAAGAAAATAAATCAATTTCAAGCTGGAAAAAAAACGTATCATTGGTGTTTCCGCTGTTATGATGATTGCACCACGTTCACGTGGCGCGTAAGAATAATACAACCATTTCCTTAGCACGCATGACTGTGACGCAAGCTTGCTGTTCTTGTTATAAACCAGCACAGCAACATGTAAGTCTCTTTTTATTTGCGCACGCAGGAATCCTGCCGCGGGAAGATCAAGTCCGCGACTGTAAGTCATAGCTTACGACTTACTCTTCACACCAGAGCTACGCAATGTGTGGTGCCGGATGACCCGAAGAGGAGTTCTTTTCACCTTGCGGACCTTACTGCCTTGGGCAGCTGGTCGCTTTTTGACCCAAGCTCTCACCAAAGCAGCTTCATTTTGACGAGCTTTGACAAGAGGCAAATCGGCCTTCTTCTGTCTGCCA